GTAGGGAGAGGGCATAGCTTTGGAGTCACAAGCCAGGGATTTGAATCACCTACCTAAATTCTTGGCTTTTTCAAGCCTTTGCTTCTCATCTGTAAAGTAGAATTGAAAATACCCATTTTTCTTGTGCCCCAGGTCTTTATGGAGATCAAATGGGAAGGTATGAAAGCGCTCGGTCCCAAATCTGAGATGGTATCGATTGCCACCTGTTTGGTAAATTTGCACTTTGTGTGTTAGGGCCTCTTGGAGCCCCGCACAGCGTGGCTCTGCTTGTTGTTTGAATTCCCTGAGTCACTTAGCTCTGCTGCAGCACCTGGAACACTGGCGAAACCCAGAGCCCCCAGAGGACATGAGTGGAGTCTGGACAGAGTGAGGCCAAGGGAGATTCTTATCCAGGCAGCACCGGGAACACACTTGTGCTGATTACAGAGGCCTCGTGGGACAAAACAGAGTTTGATTTGTGTAATCCAACCTTGTTGATACCACAGCCAGCTTTGTATTCATTTTTTTTTCAAGCCTTTCACTAGTTGGCTTCTCCCAGGTCAGAGGCCCAGGCTGTCACATAAAGGACATCTTTCGACCTGGCCAAACATCAGTTGTTCCTGGCCTCAGACAGTTGGGTTATTAGTAGTTGCTCCAGCACATACTTGTTAAACACCTACTGTGTGCCCTGCACATTCCCCACGTTGCGGACTGAGTAACTGAGTGTCCACCAGTGCCTGCCTCCCTGGCCGCAGGAAAGTGAGGCTGAGCCACAGAATATCTGCTGGTCCTCTGAGACCCCAGTTCATATCCACCCTTACCACTTGACCCTCTATCCTAGAGCTCTTTTGGTCTCACATTCTCCATTCTTTAATAAAAAGCTGCTTGGTCCTAGGCTCTGTGAATTTGAAGCTTTTACAGTAAGCTTTCCATTCCCTGTCCCCAGCCCCGCTCCTTGTGCGTTCTGGGAGCCCCTGTTCTGTGAGCGGCGCCCACACCGGTCTGGGAGAGCTGGGCCTTGCCCCTGGGGTTTGCCCTCATTGATCTCAGACTGTGTGCTGGGCGCTGTGCCAGGGGCTGAGAGTCAGAGGCCAGGCACACTCCTTCCTTGTTCCCCCTTCTCTGCCTTCTCCTCCACACCCTCCTCTGGAAGGACCCAGGTTCTCTGGTGTTTTGGTGTCTTTGTGTCCTTCATCCTGTTCAGTCCAGGCTGGTTTCCTTCCTCCTCACTGTTTCTCTCTCTGGCCTCCCTTCGAGTTCTTTTCCTTTCCTTTCTAGACAGGCCCTTTTGTTTAACTTTTAGAAAATATTTTATGTGTTGCTGTCCCTTGGAATCAAGGCATTCTTTGGTCCTCTTGGTGTGAGGCAGTGTGGTTTCCGTTGGGGGCTGTCCTATAGTAGGAGTGGCTGAGGTGGTGTTTGTGTAGCTCTGCTTGTGCCAGGGAGGCTGCCGGATGACAGTATCCAGTTGTTGGCACTCCGCATTGTAATTGCGAAGGTAATCGTGCTAACAAACTCCTCAGGGCTCCGAAAGCGCTTCAGTGGTTTCCAAAAGCCTGTCTGTGGCCTGGCTACTATGGTGCCACCTGGCAGGATTTGTCTCTGGCTCAGCCCCAGAGCGAGGCCTTACTGTGGTTGAAAGAGACTGAAGAAGACACCAAACTGTAAAGTGTTCTTTTTTAGAACACTTCATGAGGGATTTTATCTTCACTTCTGTCATTTCTTGAATTTTCCCATTTTTCTATAATTAACATGTATTGCTTTGAGAATGAAAATACAGTATACCATAAATGTTAGCTCTGATTGTTAAAATGTTACCAGGGAGCTTGTCCAATAACACATTTCTGGGCCCCTTCCCTGGAGCATCTGACTCTTCTGGCCTCTGTGGGGCCTAAGGACGCTTGACAGCAGCACTTCAGCTAGCTGCGACATAGACGGCTTTAGAGACTAAAGGGGTACGGCACCTGCATTTTCCTTCCAAATCAAGTGAGTTTGCATGAACGGGTTAGTGAGAGATCCCAGCCTAAAGCCAGGCCTTCTTATTCTTTGTCTGAGAGTCCAGCTACCACCTATAGTGCCTTCCTTCCAATTCATGGGCCCTGGAGTCAGCAACAGGCAGAAGCATAGAACACGGTTGTTCCTGAAGGCTGGCTGGTGCCACACATATCTTCCCGGGCCCTCTGCAAACCTCCCACCTTCTTGTCTGATAGCACCCACAGGCCCACAGCTGCTGAGTCCTCAAACAGTGCCCCCAAAGGAAGAGGTAAAGGTGTTGCCTTACCTTATCCCCAGGCCTCAGGGGCCAAGAAGTTACCCCTGCATCAGGTGGGATTTGGGAGAGACTGAGGCACACAGGGCCGGGATTGGCAGCACTGGGATTATCACAGAATTGCAGTCTCTCTTCCTTAGCCACTGAGCTGTTTGGGATGATTCAGTGAAGGGAAGGAAAGGGGATCTGCTCTAGTATAAAAAGAGATAGATAGTGTCCTTTGGACGAAAGTGATAGAGATATTGCTCGAGGGCCAGATGGTCTGGGTTCAGTCCAGTCCCTGCCACTTACTAGCTGTGGGGTTGCTAAATTACCTCTCCAGCTATCCGTACTGGACATGGTAACATATGCCTGCTCTGGGTTTAAGAGGACCATAGGCGTTTACAGTGTACAGAGAAGTGTGTCTCATCCTCCAGCACACCTCGAAACACCTAGGGATCTGATTCAGCATGTGCGCTTTCCGGTGCACTTCTGTATGATGCCCCAGCAGCTGGCCCATGCACCGTACTTTGAAAAGTGAGGGTGTAAAGCACTGTCTTGGTTACTTTTTTGTCTCTGGAACAAAATACCCGACACCAACAATTTAAAGGAAGAGAGGTTTATTTTGCCTCGAAGTTTTAGTTCATGGTCAGCTGGCTGCAAGACAGAAACAGGACGGCAGAGGGGCATGGCAGAGAAAAAGGTCCTTGTGGCAGCCAGGGAGCAGAGAGAGAAGGGAGGAGCCAGGGAGGGAGGTGTAGCCTTCTGGGTCACATCCCTAGTGGCCGCCTCTTCTGTCCAGGCCCCACCTCCTAGTTGCACATTTAGCTATGCACAGCTCATCACTGGACTAATCTACTGATGAATTTAGCTCCCTGCCACCATGTAGTCCAAAAGCCCACCTCTAACCATATGAGCCTTTTAGGGAACATTTTAGATTTAACCATGATAAGCACTCAGCGAGGAGCCTGGCCCCCACTCCACGTTACTGTTATTGTTGTGGCACTGGCGTTGTTGCTGCTTGGCCTTTTCAGACAGGCACCTGAGGAGCCAGAGTGCCAGCGGACCGGCCTCTGCAGGGGTGTGTCCTTGACTGCATTCTCCTTGCGTTCCACCACATGACCTCTGCACCTGTCTTGGGCAGCAGCTGGGGAGGGGAGGCAGGAGGAGGGGTCTTCTGCTCAGCTGTTCCAGGCTGAATCCATTTTTACGCTGCTTCACTCTAACCAGATTTTGTTAAGCTGGGTGTGTTTCCTCTTTTTACTCATCTTGTTTACAAAACACAAGGAAGCTATCCATCTGCAGTGCTGTGGGCCAGGCCCCTCTGTGCACACTAGGCTTCCCTTGCCCTCCTACAGGGCTGTGCTTCCAGCCTGCTGGGTTGTTTTCCAGTCTCTGTCCACAGGGAAAGAACCATCCTGTTGCCATGGGCACGGGGTGTTGTGCGCTCACCTGGATTGGCAGAGCCCAGAGGTCAGCCTCCGTGGACACTGCTTCTCACTTTGTGGCCAATGATGCGGCAAGGTGAAGTCAGCAACCCACATGGTTCCTGGGGAAAGGTCAGGGAGGCCAGGGTCAGATGGATTCTGGCAGCTCTGGAGTCCAGGAGACCTGTGCGGACGGCCTGTCCCAGTTGTCCCACTGACTTTATCCTTTGTCCATCAGACTGGGAGTCGCGCCTGGTGGGGGCCGATGGCAGTGGTTAAAAACTAATAGAGGGCCCCAGCTCCCTGGGGCATTTCACATAAATGTGCCTGCTGACTGGGCCCCTGAAGGAATCCAAGTCCAGCCTGTGCTGGCCCCTTTCTGCACATTAGGTTTTTATTCCCCTGTCCACCAAGAACCCTGTGGAGGCCCCAGCCCCGTCTTCCTCCCCTGGCAGACAAGGAGAGAACAAAGACTGCCTCTTCAGCACCCCCTTGTCCCCTCTGGGCCTCTGCTAGCCCCTGGGAAATGGTACCTGGAATGGGCCAGACACCAGCCACGACCCCGGGAGCAGCTAACCCCTGAACTTTGTCCCCCAATTCCCAGCCTGCAGTAGAACCTGGGATAACCTCCAGAGCATGGTGTGCATTCTTTGTTTTTGTTTTGTTTTCAAGTATGTTCTTGCTTAACGTTTAATTGGCTCCAGTCAGTAGGAAAGCGCTCCAAGAGGGGTTATTTATGGCTTACTGTCAAGAGCAGCTATAAAAAGGGCAGCTCAGAGCTGGAGATGCTGAGAAGGGGGAGCGGGCGGGTGTGTGTGAGAGTGTGTGTGTGTGTGTGTGTGTGTTTGCACTGGATGAAATCAGGTTTTTGCTGCCTCAGCAGTGTCGTTTAAATTGAAGATTAACCCTTTGACCTTCACAGTGTCAAATCACTTGCAGATGGAGGCTCACCCCCCTCCCCCCAATGTTCTCTGTGTTACTTTGGAGTGGGGAGGGAGCGGGGTGACTTCTTTCTCTCCCAAGCAAGTTTGTTGTTCGTGCAGTGGAGCTGGGGGGGCTCAGGAGCCAATCTGATTAAAAGCAGCACTGGGCTAAACTCTGGAAAATCCTGTGAGCAGGGGAACAAGTCTAATCCTCTTGTGCACAGTGCACGCAGAGCCTGGCCCTTTCTTTTCATGCCAAAACTTCACTTGTGTGGGGAGAACCCAACCATTGCTCTTTATCCCCTTGTCTCCCGTCCTCACCCTTTGCTGGACTGATGGGATTGAAGTGTTGGCCCAGAGGCACAGAGATCTGAACTCTTGTTGAGAATAATAAGCAGTTAAGGTGATCTTTTTCCCTTCCAGCGCCAACAGAACCAGAATCGCGTGTGGTGGCAGGTCCTACTCTTCCTGCACAACCTGGGTCTGAATGGAGAAGAGAACAGAGAAGGGGTGGGTCCCAGGTGAGGCTGGGCTGCCCTCTTTGCACGGGCCATCAGGAACGCATGCGATCTGGACCAGAAGGACTTCGGGGAGGACTGACATTGTCTTGTGAAGTTGTTTTTGTTATTATTTGTAACAGTTTTCTCTGTGTGTACATACAACGTACCTTGGTGGGGGCCTTCTTTCCACTGTTCAGTGCCTCAGCCAGAGATGGGGGCCTTTGTCAAACACTGTTGAAAGAGAGGCTGATGCCAATCTTCAATGCAGGAACTCCCCAGGGCCCTGGCAAGTGGGTTCTTCAGCCAGCTGGTCCAGGAAGTGGACTGAAGTTTTTCTACAGGAACTTTGTTAAGAAATAGGAGACTGGATTAGCACCTCCCCCTCCCCCGTTCCACCAGACCTATCAGTCTTCCCTATGCACTGGGGCCATGTCCCCTAAGATCACCTGTTTTAATCTGCCAGGATCTCGGCCAAGGGCTTCCCGACTAAGGTTGGCAGTGTTGGCAGGCTAGCCAGCCAGTTCCACAGTGCCCGCCCCAAGGGCTCAGGGATTCTTGCCCAGACCCTGTCTCCTCCAGCAGACCTCAGGGAGGGTTAGGTTTCTCCAGGGACCCCTCAAAGGTTCCGCTCATGAACCAAGCTTCTGGATAGGCCTTACATCTGATCTGTGCCCATGTGGAGGCCCCAGGATTGGTCCTTAGTTGCAGAACCATTGCCACTTCTGCTGCCTGGCTGTCAGCCGCAGATGAGCCAAAGCCAGTCACCATACTGCACCCACCAGCTCGTGCCTTTGTCAGTTCTGTTTCCAAAAATCTCAGCCACCTGGACTGCGTTCTTCGCCAGTAGCATGCTGAAAGACATAAAAAGACAGGCTCCAAGCAGGGCTGGGAAGAAATGTGGTGGGCACCTCACTGATGCAAGTCTGCCCCCCAGGACCCTGGACCCTGGTATCCTTGGAAAAACATACCTCCTCCCCCTGAACCCCAATTCCTTTTTTCTCCCCTGCTGGGATACAGGAAGAAGCCAGGACTGTGGCTTTGTCAGTGGAAAAGTGACTTCTAGAGTAATAGACAGTGGTTAGATTGTGGGACTGTCAAAGCTGGGTGCACATTGCCCATGTTCCTCCAGCTTCCAGCTAGGCGGGAGGGCACGCTCTGGAGCTCAGCAGGGTCCCAGCTGCCTCTGAACTTCACCCTTCTCTTTCTGCTGTGGCCCTAATAGAGGGAATCCCAAGCAGCTGATCTGGCAGCTCTGATAGCAGACCCAAGGAATCTGTTAGCCAGACACCTAGAAGTTAAGTTACAATTTTTGTATATGTAAGAAAAGACAACATTGGTGCTAAAGTTGAAGCAAAGCCCAAAGAAAGGCAGAGAAGACCCTGGCTGTACTCAAGAAAATCAAAGGAGAAGTGCCGAGTAAACTTTCAAATCTGAACAAATCTAAGCTCCTCCAGTTCTGCGGTCTTTAGTACTGTTGAAGGACAATTGGTCTGGATGTACAGTTGGGAAGGTTGTTCACTGCACAGGGGGACCTGCAGAGGGAGCTAAAGGAGGCTGAAATCCAGCCTGCTTTCTGCTCTCTAATCTGTGTGCACTGAAGTGAGGCTGCATTGCTCAGTTGGGGTGTCTTTCCTTATTTGTATGGGGTACCACATGTGCTCACAGGGTGGTTCTGAGAAGGACCTCCCATTGTACAGAAGCCTTTGTTTCCTTCTGCTCAGATGATTGGAGATATTACCTCTTCTCAGCCAGAATCATTTTCTCAGGGTGTGTAATGTGGTTTGCCTGCTAAGAAGGGTTCCTGCTTACAAGGAGAAGGAGCCCAGAGAATGGATATGAAGAGTGGCTCTGCCACACACTGGCCCTTGTGAAACCCAGCCTTCCTACCTGTCCCATACTGTGCGGTGACTGAGAGGACGCAGGGTTCTTTCCCTCCCTTGGACCCAGGCTGTGATAGGCAGGCTGCTGGTGGATGCCGGAGAGGTGTCCCCAAAACACAGGTACATAATTGTTTACACCAGCCACGTTTAGCTCCTCTCTGCAGACTCCCCACCAGAGCTGAGGGAGAAGATGGTTCAGACCTCGGTTCGGAGGCAAAGTCGTCAGCTTCAGAGCCCCTGGCAGCCCAGGCTGGATGTCCAGTATCCTGTTGTGAGAACTGAGCCCAGCAGAATGTCCAGCCTGCGGCCTGGTAGAAGTCAGTCTCACGGCACTGTCTCCACACAGTGCCAAGCCAGGATTAATTCACTGTCTTAGGCGGGCCAGGGCAAAATTTAAGCACCCTCCTATTCCTCCCTCCTGAAAAATGCAGTCCCCAAAATAGGACAGGGATAGTGGAAAATCGCTGGCCTAGCATGTGAAGCAGGAGGTAACCGGCAGCAGAGCCCCAAGAGAGCACGTTCCCCCTGGCTGGCTGTTTTAATTGGCCCAGTGATCCGGACTGGCCCCTTCCCCTCCGCCTGGTGAATTGGCCTTCCATTCCTCAAGTCCAGCCTCAGGAGGTGCCCCTCCCCCTGCTTTCATCCCCGCCCCAGGAGCCCGGCTCTCTGGTCTGGAGGTGGAGACTTAGATTGAGAGGGAAGGAGAGTCTGACCTGGGTCCTGACCTCTAACCGGCTGAGGCAAGTGGGGCTTTTGTAGAATGCTAAGGGGTTTGGGAAGGAGAGAGCTGGCCTCAGTGGCGGGATGCCCTGGAGGATGAAGAGCCTGGTTTGCAGGGTCCAAACACCCCTTCTAATTCAGAACCCCCAGGGCTTTCTAGGAGTGGCCGCCATAACCGATCAGGGACACCAGGCTGGATGTTGGCTCCCGGTGGTGAGGCTGCAGCACGCGGCCAGGCCTCTGCCCCTGCCTTGCTTGGTTTGGAATCTGGCTGCTGGACTCCTACCCCCGCTTCCCAGGATCAGTCAGAAGTGCAAAAAGATCTCCCAGGGATGCAGCTCAGCCCCCAGGGATATGGGGCCGTATCCAGGGCCTGGCTGAGTGTCTACTCTCCCTGGCCTGACCCTGGGTTTGGCAGGGAGGGGCTTGTGTGGGACGGTCCAGCCAGGGCTCCCATCCTGCAGCTTTCCAGGAAGGCGGCTGTGAGGCCACTGTGACTGTCCATCAGTAAGAAGCGTGCTATCCCTAGAGGGCTTGTCTGTTCTAGGGACCTGATGGGGAGGTGGAGGTCAGGAGAGCCCAAAGCAGCAGAAGGTTCCAGTCTCAGGGTCCTGCAGGATCTCTGTGATGGTGAGGTCCCCTACAGGCTATCTTGGCTGACCTGGCAGGGAGGGGTTAACCTGTGAGCCTTTGAAGCTTCCAGGGGTTGCTGTGGGCTGCAGCCTTGAGGGACCAGCTTCTCTAGATGCCCAGTCTTGACCTAGGTGCTTAAAACTTGCACGCCCCTCTGTGCAGGTGGCCAGTGCCTCCCTCTACTGCTCCCTGGGTCCTCGGGGGCTGCCAGGAGAGACCCAGTGACATGTAGCGTTTCGTTTATCCCCAGGTTGATTGCCCTGGTGTCTGGGCACTCTGCCTCTGGGGCAGGGAGGGGAATGGAGACCCATTCCTTTGTACCCTGTGCAGAGTGTTTGGTTTTATGTTCTTCACATGCATATATGTGTATGTGTGTATATATTTCCCCATCAACTGGTACAATTTTTAATAAAACCTTTTAAAACAAAGCTCATCGTTGTTTTTTGGAGGTATGGTAAGTGGCTCAAGTATTATTTGCAAGCGGCTCAGTTGGAGAATTAGACTCCACTTTTTTCTTACCTGCCATTTTCTTTCCTTCCCTACAGTACTGGGGATTGAATCCAGGACCTTGGCACTGGACTGCGTCCCTACATCTCTGCCTTACTTTACTTATTTATTTAACTTGGAGTACAAGGGCTTGAACCCAGGGCCTTCACATTCAGTTACATCCCAGCCTCTTAAAACATTTTTGTGTATTTATTTATATTTGAGACAAGGTTTCACTAAGTTGCTGACTTACCCAGGCTGGGCTCCAGGTTGCTATCCTCTTGCCTCAGTCTGTTAAAGTGCTGGGATTATAGGCGTGCTTCACCATGCCTGGCTTCACCTGCTCTCTTGAGTTACCCTGAGGTTCTGAGCTTTTGTCACAACTTCCTTTTCTGCCTTGGAGTTGAGAAGAGCAGATCTTGATTGCAGGCTAAGCACAGCAGAGGCTCCATGGTTCTGGCCGCTGAGTGATGTTGGGCAAATATGCGACACCTCAGCCTTCAGTTCTTCCGTGTGTAAACTCCATCTCTGTCTGCCTCCCAGGGTAAAGGGAAAGAGTCCGAGGACCTGCTGTGCCCCTCCCTCGGCACTCAGCAATGGCGAAGTGGCTCCTCCTGCCCCTCCCACACCCTCTCCATCATGCTGGGCTTTTATCAAGGCAGAGTCACGGGAGACGCACTAGGTTGGTTGTGACGAACCTATGGCATGTGTGCTGCAGTGGGCACGCACAGCCCTCTCTGTTGGCACTCCGACCAAGTCGCCCCAGCTGCCAAGCATCGGATAACAGCACACACAGAGGCAGTGTTGGCCCTTTGCAATACATACATGGGTTTGGAGTTGCAGTTTGGGCACTCAATCTCTAAAAGGTTTGCCATCACTGCTCCACATGTATGGGACTTCTCTGGCTTGCCTTTCTTTGTGCATTAACAATATATCTGACTTCAGACGGTGAGCTAACCTCTTGATGAACCCAGTATGGTGGTGCATGCTTGTAATCCCAGCACTCTGGGAGGCTGAGGTAGGAGGGTTACAAATTAGAGCCTAATCTGGGCAATTTAGAGATTTAGCAAGACCCTGTCTCACAATTTAAAAAAACCCTTTTTTTTCAGAAGGACTGGAAATGTAGCTCAGTGCAAAGGCCATGGGGTTCCATTCCCAGTACTGTATAAATTGGTTGATTAATTAATTAAAATAAAGTAAATCTCTTGCCAGAGTTCTCTAAGCCTTTGGGGAAAACCACTCCTGATCCTGTCAGCGTTAAATTGTGAGCAAAAGGGCCAACCGGGCTTGCCTTAGGAAGCTGTCTGCTCGCCAGTGTCCAGCCCAGGACTCCAGCTCCTGCCTCCACCTACAGTTGCAGCTTGATGGATCTTGACTGACTTCTTTGTCTGACAGATGCGTATGCTGAGAGCCAGTAATTTTGTTTGGGCTCTTTAAATAGCTGAGTCAGGTTCAGGGGTCTCACACCATCCATCTGTGTTTCCATTTGGAAATTACCCAACTTTTGCCCAGCTCTTCGAGGCAGACAAACTTGTCCTTTTTTAGTGCCAAGTAAGTGTCTGTGCTTCTGTAAAACATGGCACTCCTAACCACTCTATGTTTGGACAGAGAGGTTTATTTTTACTGGAGTGTGGTAGAAGTAGGGCCTGGTGCCATGCCCAGATGTTATCCTACATTTCATGTGCATGCTGGAGCTGAGTATATCAGGCTGTTCCTACGGGGACCCAGAGGGGCTCCCAGGGGATCTGTGGTTGATTGGTGACAGTACTGTCTTTCTTGTGAGACACCTGCCTCTACTGGGTAGGAACCTGAGTGCTTGCCCTTGTCCCACTTACCGTCTCCCCTGCCTCTCTCTGGATCCAGAGAATGTGCAGTGTGGAAGTTAAGGGTGCAGAGGCCCGCAGTTGAACTGGGGTGTGCTGTTCTGCAGCTTTGTGGTAGATTGCATAATCCTTCTGTGCCTCCATTTCCTCTGCTGTAAGATGAGGTAGTAGTACCCAACCATATAGTTATTGTGAGGGTTAAATGTGTGAATGTGTGTAAGGGTGCTTAGGAATAATGCTTGCTGCTGGCCATGATGACACACATCTATAATTCAGGCTACTTGAGAGGCTGAACAGGAGAATTCCAAGTTTGAGGCCAGCCTGGGCAATGTAGTAAGACCCTGTCTCTAAAACAAAAAAAGACTGAGGATGTAACTCCATGGTAGAGTGCTTGCCTAGAATGTGCAAGGCTCTTGGTTTAAGCCCCAGCACCCCAACGCAACCACATATACAAAAGAAACAGTGCTTGGTACGTTTTAAATTTTCAGTAACTGTCAACCCTTGATAATATTACTTTCTATTATTTGTTGGATCACTGGGCTCCAGCTGGTCCTGCTTGGAAATGTCTCCTCCATCTGTCTTCCCTCTATCTCCGCTGTGTCATCTTAAACCCTTGTGCCTGACTAGTTCCTTGGACTGCAGAGGCTCCTAACTGGTCCCTTACTAATCTTGTCCCTTCCACAGTGGCAGCGTGTGTGTGTGTGTGTGTGTGTGTGTGTATGTGTGCGTGTGTGTTTTATTTTGAGACAAGGTCTCACTGTGTAGTTCAGGCTGGCCTTGAGCTCATTATGTAGCCCATACTGGCCTCAAACTTTTTTATTCTTTTTTTTTTTTTTATTTTTTTGGTTTTTCTCCGGTACCGGGAACCGAACTCACGACCTTGCGCTTGCCAGGCAGGCGCTTTTGCCGCTGAGCTAAATCCCCAGCCCCCTGGCCTCAAACTTGAAGCGATCCTCCTGCCTCAACCTCCCAAGTGCTGGAATTACAGGTGTGCACCACCATACCCAGCTTGTGTGTGTGTGTTTGAGACAAGATCTCGCTAAAAGGTCCAGGCAGGCCTTGAACTTCTTATATAGCCCAACTGACCTTGAACTCATGATCTCCTGCCTTAGCCTTGAGTGCTGGAGTTAGGCCTGTGCCCTTATCCCCAGCTTGCTAGGGGCCTTTTTAAAGGCAACCACAATTCCACTGCCCCATCTGAAAACTTGCTCTACAGGATCATTCCTTAGCTGCCTCTCCAGGTACCCTGTTGTATTAGTATTTTGCATACAGTTTAGCAGCTTAAAACAACAGATATTTATGAACTCAGCGTTTCTGTGGGTCAGGAACTCAGGAGCAGCAGCCCAAGGTAACAGCAAGATAAGAACTGGTATTAAGATGGTGATTCCTGAAGCACCTATATAACGTGTATGAAGTCAGCTGTGTACATTTAGCTGAGAAAAGGACTAGAGGAGTGAGAAGGAGGGGACAGCGATGCATGGGAGCTCAGTGCAGCACTTGTGCGTGTTCCTTGGGAGCAGGGAGTAGCGGCCTGCAGGAGTGTGATGTGGGAATGTATGACAGCTCCTCCTTGGCCTCATGTCACACCAGCACCTGATCACACTTAGAGAAGCTTCCTTGGCCCAGTGTGGTCTAGATGCCAGTCAATGCTTTCTTCTACTGTTGAACTGAGGCTGCAAAGGAGAGGTTGCCGGGCTAGGATTTCCTGAGACTTGGTTGTGTCTGCGTAGTAAATTTCATGGCATTTTAAATGATTTTTCAAGGATAGTTTTCATTTCATGTGATTACCGCCTTACAGGAGATCTTGGAACCAATTCCATCTTTCTGGCCCCTGCCCCTTTTATTTTTATTTTATTTTTTGGTGATATTGTGAATTGAACCCAGGGCCTCACACATGCTAGGCAAGTTGTCTCCCACTGAACTGCATTCCCAACCTGTTTTAAATTTTTAAAATTTTGAGACAGGGTCTCACTCAACTGCCTAGGCTGACTTCAAACTTGTGATCTTCCTGCTTCAGCCTCCTGGGTAGCTGAGATTACAGGCGTGTGCCATGGCACCCAGCCCGACCATTGCCCTTTGACTAGTCAAAGGTCTCCTGGCTCCTTGCCATACTCATGTGAATGACCCCACCCTTGAGTGAGAAGACGAGGTCCACTGATGAGTCAGTGTCACTGACTGAGCTCCTTACCAGGTCTGAAGTTCTACCCTAGGCCCAGTGCAAGGAATCAAAAGAAACAGTCCTTGTCCTGAAAATTGTGTCCTGCAAGAAATCCAAGTTGTATGAAAAAATGGGAAATCTGCTCAACTAAAATGAGGTTTTTAAACTAACTCTTACTAACCACCTGAATGAACTGGGGCAAGGAAGTGATTTCCCTCTCTGCCCTTGGGGTTCTCATCTGTGTGTGTGTGTGTGTTGGGGAGTAGGACCAGGCTGCCTATTTCCCCACCATTTTATCCAGCAGTTTGTCTTTTGGCTCTTGAACTCTTATCTCTGCTGAAAAAATACATTGATCCTGTCCTTGGGAAAAGGGACATGATACGCACAAGAATTTGTACATAGGATTTCAGGCAATGAATTGAATGTCTGATCTACCATAATGTAACCAGGTTTAAGGGCGATGGTTTTATTGCAAAGCAATAAGCAGAAGAATGAGTAGTGCAAATACCCAGAGCCCTGAGCAAGTTCTTTCCTCATTCTGCTCCTGATTTTCTTCTTGCTGCAAAAGGTTGCCCCTGTGTCCTGTGCCTTTCACCCAGGCACACTGGGAAGGCAGATGGTGTAATCTCTGGAGACTTGTGTTTACCATATTGCATTGCTAACTTTGGAGACCCATGCTTCCCGTCAGCACACTCAGAGACTGAAGCCAACACAATGGGCTGGTTCTTTTGGAGGCCACGACCCCAGCCCGGACAGGGTATTTGTGGCCAGTTTTCTTAGTAACCCTTCTATCTTACCCGGCCGAGAAAGGGGCAGTGAACCTGAGGTGCCATTCCACCAACTCAGAGGCTTCTGATCAAGGACCCTTGAGGTTCGTGCTAAATGGGCTGGCGAGCAGCAATCAGACCCTAAAAATACAGGAAAATGTGGCCTGTGGCAGTAGGAGCCCCAGAGCTGACAC